GACCCCCCTTCCCCTCCGCCAAACGGCGAAGACGAAGTCCTAAACCCCCAAACCGGCCCGGGCGAATGCGCCGAGGACGAGGCCCCGATGCCGCCGGTGGAAATTCGCTTTGTTCTCATCCCGGACTCCCGTCATACCGACCCCATCCTCGACGAGTGCATTTTGGGCCAGCGCAGCTGCTGCGCGGACCTCCTCTGCGAGTACGAGGACGCCTTGATGAAGTGCGGGGGCGAAGGGGAGGGGGGGGCCAGGGATTTGGGCAAAATCGTTGTTTTGCACTCCAAAGACGACGGCGAGAGGGCCATAAACCACCCCTACCACTCCATCCACGCCTATCCGGACGCCATTTTGCCCCTCGTCGTGCCGATCGAGGAGCGTCCATTGGTGATGCGATTGTGCTCGATTATTTGCCCATTTTAGAGGGAAACGGGGGGTGAAAAACGGCAGCTGATGACGTCTCCCGCTTCCAAGACTTTCCCCCCTACCGACTCACGCGTAATATCACGCATAAAAAGAAAGGACTTTAACCGTCATGTCGGCCTTCCTATCGTCTGCCTTAAGGTGTATAAATACCTTTAAAGGCCCCACGAGGACGACAAACACGGCTTTCTGGAGTTTCCCTTCTGCGTACCACCGACGGCACGCGAAGTGGATTTTTGTTACGTTAAATCCCCGAACGGGTGTGGGCTGTGATACCATCCACGCTTCTTTTGTTACAACTGTTATCTTCCGAAACGCGGGGCTTCTTGTTAAACCGAAGCGTCATTAGAACGGTTTCGGGGATAAAAAAAAAGGCATTCGCAGGCTTCTTTGTGGAGATTGGGCTCCTTTGAATGCGTCCACACCCAAACCCGGTGAAGAATCGCTATATAAACTTCATAAAACATATTCAAGGACGAGCAAATAGTGCGAGTTCCCAGATTTGTTTTCACGGATAAGGGTCTATGATCTCAACTATATATAAAGATGAAGCCACCTCTAAAAATGAGTGTTTAGGGGTCTTCATCGGTCTATTAGGTGCGGCGTGCGGAATTTTTTAAACAAAAAAGTGCATTGTTGAGCCTCAGTAGACCTAAAAGTGCTTTAAATTTGGGCATACCAATAGTTTTGTATGTACGTGTGTGCAGTAAATTCATCAACATCCAATAATATATATATATATATATATATATATCGATACAACACTAATGATGCTAGTGAGTCCAACCTTTAATGAGATACGTTATTATTATTATTATATAATTACTTTTCCATCATTTGTTTCTTCTAAAAGGCAAACCAAAGAGGGTTTTTGTGCTTGGGGTGCGATATCACCCCTTTGGGTTGACTCGCCGAGAATGCGCCCGTGTGGGCCGGAAGGGGCGGCGGGGGCCCTGGCGGACCGCTTTTACACCACCTCGCCGTGTGGGGCGAATTGTCCGCACTTTCCCGGCCCCCCCGGGGGAAATCCCCCGCCTTTTCTCGCGATGCGGCCGTATTTTTTTGATTTTAACGCCCACGCGAAGGGCCGGTGGGTGGGGCGGCCGCTTTTGACGGTTTGCGTGCGCGAGTTCGCCTGGACGCGCCCCCCGCGCGAGGGGGCGGGGGGCGGAACGGGCACTTTGAGGGATCCAACTGGGGATCCTTTAAAGGACAACCCTAGGAATAACTCAAAGGATACCGACGAGGATCTTTTAAACGACCTACATCATGACACTTTAGAGGTTGGGGAGGGGAGCTTGGATGCCCGGCTGACGCTGCCCGCCTTCATTGCGGAGCTCTGCGAAGGGACGCTTTGGTTGGACGGGCGGGCGGAGGAGTGCCGGGCCGCCGGGCGCCGCCTCCGCGCGGCCCTCATCACCCAACGGCCGGGGGCGGAAACCCCCAAAGGGGATTGGGCGGCCGCGGTGGAATGGCTGCGCGGGCTCCCCACCGTGGCCGCAGCGGAGCATATCCTCGAGCAGCATCTGCCATCGCTTCTGGTACTTCACCAGCGGGATATTCTCCGGCATCGAATTTGGCGTCGCGAAGGGCGCATCTTCGCCGACGCGCCCCTTCACATCCTTCGCTGCGACCTCCGCCTCCTCCACGACGACGACGCACCGCGCGAAACGGCGCATCCTCCTCGGGGGAAACAAACAACTAAACAAAAAGAGAAGGAAAAAGAGGCGTTGGTGGTGGTGAGTAAACCCCCCGGCCTCCCTGTCCACCCTTCCGGCGCCTATCATAAAAATACCATCACTTCTCTACTCACCGACGTCCTGTTCGGCGGCCCCGCGGCCGTTCATTATTCTTACGTGAAATACCCCCCCCGTCCGGCGGACGGGGTCCCGGCCTTCGCCTCGATTTACCACCGAACGGAGGGATTTGAGCTGATTCGGGTCTGGATCGCCGCGGAAGTCCCCGGCGAAGACGAACCCCCCCCAAATCCATCGACGTTCGCGATGGGCGTGCGCGAGGAGGATTGGGAATTAATCAAACGCGGGTTGGACGGCGGGCGGGGGGGGTGGCGGCCTTTTGTCGTCCACCGCCTCGACGCGGCCACCAGCGGGGTTTTGATTTTCGCCCTCAACGCCGCCTCGGCGCGGGCCACGGCGACGTTGATCGCGCAAAAAGAAGCCCCGACGATCTCGAGCGGTGTTCGTGATGGAAATAATAATAACAATAATAATAATGGATCCTGCGTAAAGCATTACCTCGCCCTGGTGGAGGGGAAATTGGATGTGGAGGCTCTCGCGGAAGGCGGGATTCTCCAGACAGACCCCTGTCAACCTCCCTCCCCCTCCACGATGGAAACCACGGAAGAAGTTGACACCAATGGAGTGCGGAAAGTTGGAAATAAAGCCGGAAATGGTGTTGAACCTCATCTTGGCAAATACGCGAGAACGGAAAGGGAAGATCGGCGGGAATTCGCAAAGGCATCGCCTTGGCTGCGGGTGGAGCGCGCGATTGGTTGTCTGAGTCCCCAACAGAGTCTTTATTGGTGTGCGGGCGAAAAACGCACCGCGCGATGGCGCCGTCGACGGCATCTTTTCAACGAAATGGTGAATCCCCCCCCAGCGGGAAAAAAAAGAAAAAGCCACCCCGGCTGCTCTCCGAGAAAAACATGCACGGATGCGGCTTCTCACCACAGGCAAAATTCCCCTTTTGAAAGCCGAAACGCCGATGGCAGAAGAGGCCGACGACATCGACGGTGCGAATCCTCCACCGCATTTGTCAAATGACCAGCAGAGGATCGAGGACTATGAGCAATCCCTGCGCGAGGCCATCACCTGCGTTCGCGCGGTTTATTATAATCCTATAAAAAACCAAACCCTCGTGGAGTGCGCATTGCTTACTGGGCGTACACATCAAGTGCGCGTTCATTTGGCCTCGCTAGGGCACCCTATTGTGGACGATGAAGGCTATGCACGGCTCCTGCGCAGCCTACACGGCGAAAATGCCTCCCTAGCTGATGAAGCAATCCTAAAACCTGCAAGCCCAGAAAAGGATTTGGATGATATTGACCTCTACTACCGCTACGTAGCCAACAATGGGAGGGAAAAAGGGTATTTCGGTCGTGCAGTAGGCGTAAATGAGGAAATGGAAGGTCTGGGGGGCGGGATGTGCATTTGTCCCAGGCGCATTTGCCTTCATGCCTGGCGGTATACTTTACGCTACGACCACCCTGGGAGCAAGGAAACGGTTCTTGAATCACCCCTTCCTTCATGGGCGGTGGTAGACTGAATGTCCCACATTATCGCAAAAAATACGTCTTGCGATTTCTTCTAGCTTGGTAACTCAAAGACGTTACATTGGAATAGAGGGATCGTATCCCACAGGGAGGGGGAAGTTGCTTATTGGTGAACGTACTGAAAGTCCTAAGACACTATACTGCCACTACTACTGTTACTGTTACTACTAGTACTACCACTACTACTAGTATTGACACTACTACTGTTACTAAAAAGAGATATCTATCTACTATTGATGTGTGTGTGTCTTCTCTTAGCGCCTTATTTCATGTTTCCCTGTTTCATTCTTACAATTCTGACATTCCTCTCTTCCCCTCTCCCTCTTATTGTCTTCTGTGTTGGTTCTTCATAGCTTTACCTATTCCCGCCTGTTACACATACTTGTCCTAAAAAAGGAGCCTTCCAAGGGAACGTTGTCTCGTGCCTTCGTCCGGTTATTCTCTTGCAACAATGACCCAACAACTCGCCTGCTGCTACGCCGCGCTCATTCTTCAGGAGCTTAACAAGACGGACGCCGCCAGCCTCCGCGCGGTGGCCGCCGCCGCCGGGGTGGAAGTTAGCCAGGGTATGGCCACCGCCTTTTCGAAGGCCCTCGACACCGTGAGCATCGCGGAGGTGCTGAGCAATATGAGCTTAGCCGGTGGTGCGGCTTCGGCGGGTGCGGCTAACGTTTCAGGTGCTGCCGCGCCCGCAGCAGCGAAGGAAGCGGTGAAGGAGGAGAAACCTGTCGAGGAGGAGGAGGACGACGAAATGGGATTCAACCTCTTTGACTAAAAAAACATGCATGCGCAAAGGACACACAACACACCCCTTTAGAAATAGGAAAATGCACAGCATAATTGTTTTCTGATTTGTGAATACTTAATCGAAAAAAAAAACTGCAAACCTCCTTGGAAGGTTTCCTGAATAATGATGAATTTGTTGCGCTTATTCAATGACGTTATTATCTCTTTTTAACCACCTCATCCTTTGACTTACACATGCAAAAATATAAATATAAATATAACATAGTGCTTTTAAAAAATCCTCCACGGAAGAAAGTGAAGGGTGTTAGGGAGATGAATCTCTACCCGATAGGGGATTCCTTACTGTTGGGTCTTGATTCTCTTTTTTTGCCGTTGTTGCCTGAACAAAACGCCATATTTTGCGCTCTTACCTCGCTTTTTGATTGGACACACCACCAACAAAGTCACGCCGTCGTAAATGGACCTCTAAACGAAAGAAAAGATTTGGAATTGACCTATTCCACAATGGAAACCGTCCCTTGTCAAAGGACAATAGAAGCTTCATCCAAACCTCCCGAACGCTCAAAATCGCTTTTTAAGCTGCTCAGTGCGCGGGTGGAGGTTGCTGTTGTTGTATTCCGCACAAGTGAAGTCGCATTTTTCGATTTACGCAGTAAGCAAAAAGTACCTTCCATCTTTCGATGTATTCATAGTAATGGAAATAGTTGGAGCAATAATAATAGTATACCAACGTCGCATCCTCTTAGTGCTCCAGCGCTCGGTATGGCAAGCTGCGCGGCGTTGATTTCGCTTGAACTCAGCTATGTCTGTCGTATTCCTTGTGGGAAAAAAGAAGACACGAATTCATTACAATATTGCGAATATTCATATCCGCGCGGTGTTATTGGCGGCGAGGACGGCCGCGTGAGCGTCTTCTCTGAGCACGCCTATCTTTTAAGCTTTATCGCGCACGATTGCCCGGTTGTTAGCGTGAATGCAATCTATACCTACACCGGGAAAGATAGTAGGGAGGAAGAGGAGGAAGGGGGGATGGAGAACCTTGGTTTTATTACTGAGGGCGCGGATGGCGTGGTTTACGGGTGGTGGCACTGCAAAAGTGACAAAGGTAGGATTAGCAAACGACGGCGGAAGTTACTTTCTGAAAAAAGTATTATGACCGATACCACTACTATGATGCCGTCTCGCAAAGTTGCTTTTGCCGTCTATCAGCCTCGCTTTGACAATTGGTTACTTTTGCCGTCGTACGCAATGCTGTTCGCACCCGATGTCGCCCTCCCGAATCTATTCTTTATTCACGCGAGCAGTCCTGATAAAGAAGAAAATATTAACGATCATTCACAAATACTGCAAGCGCGGCCGTTTAATACTACGGAAGCTTCGGAAGGCGTCTTTTCATCGCGTTTCTTCGCCCTGCCGACTTCATCTCAGCAGCGTATTGACGCTATTGCCGTAGACGGCGAGCTCTGCGCGGTCGCGCAAGGCGTGGAACTCTTTCTTATTCAGCTTCTTTCTCCTGAAGAAGATGGCTTGGACGAGGATCACACAAATACGAAGAAAATGCCAACAGGTCGGCATATTTTTTCCTCACCAACGCCCATAATGAACCTTTTCTTGCAGAATGATCTCCTCGCTGGGAGCTGTAATGAAGGGCATCTCTTCGTGCTCGAGGTGCCATCTGGTAGGCTGCTCACGAGCTGTCGCAGCTATAAATTTCAGCCGGTCAAATCCATTACTTTGAACTCCCGCGCGCGATTAATGGCGGTGGTAGATGACATTGACGGCGCGATAGAAATTATCCGACTGCCGACGGTGTCATTTAAACACGCCTCCGAATCACTCAGGGCGGGGATCTTGCCCTCCGATGTGGCTAAACAATTATATGCAGGGAGCGCTCCGGCGGCGCGGGTTCTGCCAACCGCCCTCGCGCTGCGTTATCGCTGCCAGATCGAGGAGTTCTCTCACTCTAAATCGTTTTCTGAAGCTGCAAATATACTGCAATGGCAAGCTACAACGAATCCTACTACCATTAAATTGTTGGATGATGCGGATAACGAAAGTATCGCGCTGAAAAAAGCATCAGGAGAATTCTTACGCAAAGTTATAGAGTCATTGAAAGAAACCTACAACATCCTACGCTTCTCCATACCTTGGAACCATCAGCAAGGCTTAAGCTGAGGATCCCACATTTCCTAGTTTGCCCCCTTGTGTGTAACAAGGAATGTACGTCAATAAGAACCTTGTTCGTTTTTTTCTAGCGCGTAATCTATATATAAAATGAAAAGTAAATGGGTATTATAATTCTTGAATGGTTTCCTACTCAGCCGTGCCACTTGCATTCAACCATCCCTATTTATGCCTTTTTTTTCGATATAAAAGGAGTTATAATCGTGAAAATCGCATTGTATATTATAAATGGATTTGTCCCCTGGTTATGTGTATTTGCGGTATAACGAGGTTATTATTAATAATTCGTCCCATCACCCTCATAGGCCAATACGAATTCACATTATGCAGGGGGGCTTTATCGCGGCTTTATCTTTCTTCCTTTTTTGTTCTATTGTTTCCATACATTTAGCGTGTCTCATACAAGGTGAGATTCCAAAAGGAGTGTGACACAAGAGCTCCACCTCTCTCCTTTCCCCTCATTATTATTAATTATCGGGGCGCTACCGTTTTAGATTCCGTATTATTATTATTATTATAAGTGGTAGTAGTAGTAGTAGTACTTGAGACATGTTTCGCCGTGCAGGGTTCGCGCTGGCAGGGGGCATTCCGCGCAGTGCGTGGGATCCCGCGCATTACAACACCAACGCCCCGGACAGCTTCGCCGTTGATATCGCCGCGCGGCGGCATTGGCCGGCGAAGAAGTGGTCCATCGGCCTCGAGCCACGGACGCCGCGGGAGTGGCTTCAGTACTCGCGGCGCAACCTAGCCTACGCCTACAACGGCGCCCTGCGGGCCTCCCACTCCTTCCCGGAGATGCTGCTGTATTATAAAGAAATGCGAACCCGCGGGGTGAAGGTGGATGTGGACACGATGAACACCCTCCTCACGCGCGCCGCGCAGTACGAGAAGATCGACATCGCGGACGTCTTTCAGCTGTTTGACGAACTCGTCGGGCTCGGCGCCCGGGCGGATTTGAGCGCGGTGGAGACGCTGCAGACCGTCCTCGAGCACAGCGCCGCCAAGCCCGCGGAGTGGCGGGAGGCGCAGCGGCGGAAGTTGGTTGGGCTCTACCGCGTCGTCGCCCTCGAGGAGGTCGAGCGGCTTGCCGGGATGCGGGTGGACCCGCTTCTCCGCGCGCAGCTCGCGCGGGTGCGGGCGAACCTTCGCCAACTCGGCGT